TCCTGGAGCAGGTGCGAGGGTGGCGTCTTGCACAAAGCGGAGGGGATGGACTTCAGTGTGGGTGTGGGGAATCCACCCCCGTAACTGGAGGGAAGGCAGAGCAGCAGAGCCTAGAGCGGGTGGATGGGATGAGGGGAGGTAGGACGTGTACAAGGTCTCTTCTTATGGCCTCTGTTTTCTCGGTGACATGGGAACAAGGCCATCAGCTAAGAATGAGCACGACAGAGTGGTGTTAGAGGTTCAAGGAGAAGGCGGAAGGTGTGAAATAATGTCCAGGAGACGGAGAGGCAGCCGGCTGTCACTCCTCTGGAGTGGTCCCAGTCAGCATGGAGGCGGGGTTTACTCCAGCCCCGTTCGTGGTCATGGGTGTGGGTGGGGAGTCGGATCGAGCCAGGGCTGTGCTTTTTACAGGTGGACATGTCAAGATCAGAACAGGGGAAGGGAGTTGAGGATGTATTTACATGCAGGAGAGACCGCAACGAGGGCCCATGGACTTCAACGTGATGGAAAACAAGGGCATGAAGAGGCCAAGGGTCAGTGGAAAACTGAGATATCAGTGATCTCTCTGGGGCCAAAAATAATGTTGGAGTTGAGGTTTTAGAGGCAGGTGAGCAGCAAAGGTAGAGGTGGGGTCAACGGCTGGGCTGCTGAGAACCAAGGTGTGAAGGGCTACAGATGTCAGTGATGGAAAGTTCCAGAGGTCAGGGTTATAGGAGTGAGTGGCCGAGGAATGGAGAAGACAAGACCACTAGAGGAGAGGAGTTCAAGGCAGGGAAGCCACAGGAAACTGGTGCTTTCAGTAAAAGGTAAAAGTGGCTTCAAAGCCCTTCCATCCAGATACACACAGCCTTTCACCATGTGACTTTATTGCTCCTCTTAGACAGGTAGGTACTATTTTCTGACTCTGATTGTGACTTGGCTCATGACTTGCTCTGGCTGACAGAATGCAGCGGAAGTGCCATCATATGACTTCGGAGGCTAGGCCTTAAGATGCTTCGCAGTTCCTGTTTCGGTGTGAGACAGCCTGGCCAGGGAGCCGGTCTGGCCGCCTGAAGGGCAAGAGGCCGCCAGAGCGCTGAGACACGCAGCACCCGCTGCCACGCCCGGGAGTGAAGCCACCGCGGGCCACCCACCTGATCCACAGAATCACAAAATGCCATGGTGATCTTAAGCCCCTGAGGATGGAGGCTGTTATTTAGGCTGCAAGAGCAGACATGGGCAGATGGCGAAGTCACCAGGAATCAGTACAAGAGAATGGTAGGAAGCAATGCCAAACCAGAGCTGACGTCTAGAATTGTGAGAAAATGCTTCTCTCCTTTTTAATTTTTGGAGCTATTTTGAGTGAACTGCTTTATTATTTCCTGTAAAAATTGTCCAATATATACAATTAGGTGTGGAAAAGGGATCTCCACTTTTCCCCCCAAAAGAAAGATTGAACCCCTCAGAGCGCCCCATGGATGTCGTCCTGCTGTTGAGGGCGGGGGAGGCTTCAGGGAAGAGGTGGCCTCTTGGGTGACTCAGGCAGGAGGAGAGGTGTCTGACCTGGAGGAGCCCAGTACCCTCCTGCACTTTGGGACATGAGCCAGCCCAACAGGGCAGCTGAGCAGAGCAGAGAGAGGCACCAAGGACCACTGGGTGTGTGTCCTTTGGTTTGTCAGGGTGGGGTTTGTAGGATGCCGGGGGTCGGGGGGTGTGAAAAATACCTGGGAGAGGCCAGGCAGGCAAGGAGAGGCAGGGAGTAAGCGGGGGAAATGTCCTCCTGGCTAGAAGGAATACAGGGTCCAGGGGGCGGTGGACAGAGAGGCAGGGGAAGGAAATGAGACAAAGTGGAAGGAATGGGTAGGAGGGTCAGGTGGGGAGAAAATGAGGTGGCGTGGAGGGGGTGGGGCGAGCTGCTGACTAAGGGTCACTTGTGTCATCCAAAGCCCCTCTGGTCTATCTGTGGGACACCGCCAGCCGGGTTTCCATGTCCTGCAAGTGCTCTGGGGTCAGAAGCAACCTCTTCTGCCATGCAGCCAGGCAGTGCCTCCCAGAAGGAGGCAGCAGAGAGACCTCCGTGGTCAGGGTGCCTCTGTCCCCTCTCTGGGAAATTAACTTCCTGGTGTTGCAGTTGAACCTCAAAGGTGACAAGGACGGCCAGGCTGCATGATGTCAAGAAGCCCAGCCCTGTCCTGTCTTGGTTACATGAAACGTAAGGTTTCTGGGATGTCACGTTTGAGATGGGAAAAGAGAAGCTGAGACACGGCTGGGTCAGCATCAGATGTCGTGGATGAGACACAAAAAGGAAGTCAGTGAGGTGATGGGGGAGGGACCCGCGGGCCAGGCCACGGGGCGACACTGCACAGGGTGTTGGATTAAGGAATCGGAGTCCTAGACAGAGTCAGGGGTGGAATCTTTTGTGCACTTTACTGATACGTCACTGTGTGCCCACAGCGCAGAGGGCTGCAGCCCCCGCCCGAAGCCGGCCCTACGTGCTGGTGGAGGAGTCTCCTGGGCTCATGTGACAAAAGCCAGATGGAAAACAATGTGTATCACATGCCCCACTGTGTTTAAAAAATTAAAAATTAAAACTGTGTGTGTGAGTGCATGCCCCCCACCTCTGACTGGCCCCAGGGGACCCAGGTGTGGGCACCGGGCAGGGGAGACAGCCCATGGAGCAGCCTCCTGTTCAGCTATAAGCCAGAGAAGTCTTCCCAGCTCACCTCTGGCCCAGCCCAGCTCCCCTGGAGAGAGATCCCCCAGGACTTTGGGCCAAAGGCCTGGTGAATATCTAGATCCATGGTTCCCAAACCTGAGTGCTCACTGGGATCACGGAGGGCATGTTAAAACCAGAGTTTCTGACCCAGTACGTCTGCAATGAAACCTCAGAATCTGCTTCACTGGCAAGTGCCTGGGGGTGTCCATGCTGCTGCTCCAGGGTCCTAACTTTGAGAACCCCTGTTCTAGAGGGTTCCCTTACCCCCACCCACAACAGGTGTACTCTTCCTTGGCTGAGGGTACTTCCCAGGCCATGACGTTGTTCCTTACTGTGTTGACTTGCTTAATTGTCCATGATCCTTGTTAAGCTGTGAGCATCTGAAGAATGGGGCCTGTCTCTCTCGGTCATTGCTATGTCCCTAACACCTCACAGTACCTGGCAATATTTGTTCAATGAACAAGTATATTTGCCTGGCATGTTCTGTCTGTGTCGTGGGTGCCACAGAAGCCTAGAGCTGAGCTGGAAAGCTGCTCAAGGATCAGAGGCACTGACCATGGCCCTTACCTTAGACATGACCAGGAGAGAGGCGGGCCTCCCCAGCTTTGATCTCTGAAACTGACCGGCCAGCAAGGCACTGCCAAAAGCCAGGCACATGCTCACCTACTATTTGCTATTGTGGACATGGCGCTGAGAGATGATGTGCGGGGCAGAGGCGCCTTGCACAGGAGGGGCTGGGAACTCAGCTGTGCGAATGCTGGCGTGCGCCTGACTCTGCTGGGCACCACGTGGCCACGCACCTCTACACGCTGCAGCCTGTGTCCTGAAAACACGGGGCTCCCTGCCTGGGGAGCCGGTCAGGCAGGAAGCCCGAATACCCCAAGGAGCAGCCCTCAACCTGGGGTGGGCAGGTAGAGATGTCATGGACACCGCCTGGTTCCCTTACCCCTCCCGCCTGAAGCTGGGGTGATTCTAGGGACCTCTGAGTTCCACGGTAGGGCCAAGTTCTGCTTGCCCGCAGCGGCAGTGGCTCTATGACTCCCCTTCACAGCCCCTTTTGTTTCTGGTCCCTCGTTCCCCTCCCTTGTGGTGCTTCCTGGGATCCCTGCAGACACACTTCTTGTGCTTCCATCCAGATTAAGAGGGGCAACTTGAATGCCTCAAGAACTGCACCAAACCATTCCTTTATAGGCATGTGTGTATGTATCTTCATGGAATCCTCTTGATGAAGTTGGCACCATTAACCTTGTTGTACAGTAGAGGAAAGACACACTTGGAAGCTTAAATAACATGCCCGATGCCAGGGAAAGGTAGACGCCAGGTTGGAATGCAGGACTACTTGATTGGGGAGGCGCGGCTCTGATGCACAACCGCCTCCCCTCCCACACACACACCCTGCTCTTTGCGCAAAAGCCACACATTCCCAGGCCCATGGCCGTCCTTGTCAATCTGGTTGCCTTTTTGCCTCTCTCTTGTGCCATCTCCTTGTGGACAGGCTGCCCAAGAGGCGAGTCCCAACCCAGAAGACTCATGGGATGTTCCAAGGAAGGGAATACTGAGGCACCTCATCTAAAGTCTTCATTTTTACAGATGAGGAAACTGAGCCTTGAAGGGACAAGTGACAATTTCATAGCATGTTCACATTTATGATTTCTGAGTGGCACTTGGCAGCAGACCTATGAGAAAGGTTAGCAGAGCCCCCCTTTTACAGAAAAGCAGATGGAATCTGAGGGACAGAGGCAGCAAGCAGGTGTTCATAGTCGTGGGCAGAATTGTGAGCATCTCTTATCAGACATTTTTCCTTGTGCCAGACGACCTTGACATTTTTTGCATACAAGCCGATCTCACGCACCCTCCCACAAGCCTAAGCATTCAGCGTTCTCATTGGATGGAGTGGGAAACAAGACTTAGAAAGGCTAGTGATCTGCCTGTGTGTCAAGTGGAGAGCTGGGACTTGAACTTGACCTGTGTTGGTCCATTGCCAGACTCCATGCACCTGTATTCGCTGCAGGCTGGGGGTTCCTCTAAGTAAAACCGCTATGTGGATTCTCGGGGGAGGCTGGAGGGCACAGACAGGGGAGAAGAACCAGGGTTCAGAGCAGTCAGAAGTGGAGGGTTAGAGGGCGCCAAAGAGAAGTTGCCGCCTCTCTCTGGCTTTTATCAGCAATATCATTTTGAGGAACAAAGGACACAGGGTACTTGTAATCTTTAAAGGGAAAAAAAAAAGCCTACTTAGTGACCACAAGAACTCCACGCCCTACACCCGCCCCCCCCATTCCAGCCTTCAATTGCTCCACAAGTTCTGAGAACTTCATGCCATCCTCCTTGCCCCATTCAACTCCACCCTCCTCGATCCCTTAAGACAGAGCTCCCCAGGGAGAAGTGAAAACCAGTGACTAGAAAAAGTTCTTTGAGTGAACTCCAGCCTCCAGAAACTGGCCACTGGTGGGCATTGTGGCCATTAACGGACACCCAACTACACAAAAAGAAGAACTTTGTCTCCTTGTCATTCTGAATGACTGAGAACCCCCAGAGTCCTGTCCCTATCATTATACAGGAAGCTGAGGACTTCCTTCTATTCTCTTGGGACCTAAAACCTTGAAAACAAACACTCGAAGTGCTCTGGAAAATAAGGCTTTGTGGACAGAGCTCCTTGACGCCAGAGTAAGTAGCACTTGCCTTTTCTGTCTTGTTGGTTTCTGTCGGGAGCAATCTGGTTGGAACACTGCATGCAGTATGTCTGAGCAGCCCATCTATGCATCTGTAAGGCAATGAGCTGTGTAGCAATACTGAGAAGGGGCGGATTTGTAAGACTGGGTACTCAGGTGTAAAATAGATTTTTATTTTTTGCTTAAAAAAGGAAGCTTTTGTGAATAGTGGGTTATTAGTGACTGATTAAGAGAGCCCAGCCGTGGCTGGTTGTGGCTCAGTTGGTTGGAGCTTCATCCCATAACAGAACGGTTGCAGATTCTATTCCTGGACAGGATACATTCTTAGGTTGCAGGTTATATCACTGATCCCTGGTCCCTGGTTTGGGCGCCTATGGTCCTTGGTCCAGGGTCATGTAGGGGGCAACCAATCAATGATCCTCTCTCGCAATGATGTTTCTCTCTCTTTTTAAAAGCAATGAAAAAAATGTCCTCAGGTGAGGATAAAAACATTTTTTTAAAAAAAGTCAGCCCAGTATTAAGGGACAAGGGGCACTTTCTGTAGGAGGCTATTCAAGAGGAATTTACTTGCCAAATTTTCCCCATGTAAATGAAAACCATGCCTGGTGTATAAAGTCAGTGTAGCAAGAGGGAGATATGAATATGAAAAGCCTTTGCAGATGCAAGGATGATTTGATACTGAACCCACTTTTTAAGATGACTAGAACCAAGGATCCTCAAAATCAGACTGTGGGCTGAGTTTGGAGGCAGTAGAATTTTGCCCACCTGAAGGTGGGGAGCTCACCAGATGACCTCTTGGGATGCATCTATTCTGTTCTACTAACAAAGAGGCAGCAGAATTTTGTTCCAAAGGTAGAGGAGCATGGGGTCTCCTTGGAGGTATCTACTTCAACTCTTCCCCCATAAGATCTGAGGGGTCTCAGATATCCAATTAGCACTTCCCAGAAGTTTGCGTAGCCTGCCACCAAGCTGTGTGCCACTCACTGACCCCTTAGTCCCCACTCTGACTACCAGGACAGCTCTTAGGCTACTCAGACTAGGGGGCATTGATGTGCTGCTAAGTATTTCATAACAGGCTCTCCTTAAAAAGCACCCTGATTGCTAGTCTTGTTGATTTCTGTGTGTAAATATTCCCACTATGGTCCATTTCAAGCTACCAACATGCTGAATGTGGAGCTGAGAAAACATGCACACGATTGGTTCTTATGAGCCAGGATAAGCCAGCTCCTGCATACCACCAGGCCCGGGGTCTTTACCTTCACAGACTGCCCTTTCTCTGCTCAGAGACTCCCAGACTGGAGGATGGTGGCACTGGAAGGTTCCAGGTTCCAGGGCCAGAGCGGACTACTGGGCAATGGCCTCGGGGCAGACTTTTGCGGCAGACTATGGTGTGGCTGGCAGGTTGGGTAGCAACACGGTCCTTGGTTGCTCCTCCAAGGCCCTAGCCCTGCCGTGCCCGTTCCGGGAGCAGTGTGTCCTGGTGGTGTAGCACGGCGCCCGACAAGTTGGAAAACAGTAAAGGGAGTTGGATGTCGGGGGGGCATGGAGGTGACTCTCAGTTCAAAATGACATCTTACAACACTGACTCAACGTGCCTTTACCTTTGTCAAAATTTCCCCAAAACCTGGGCTCATGGGGTCAATCTTGCACTAGTTGCTCTCTGTGCTTCCAAGCCGCTTGTTGCTTCCACCGTAAACCCACCGGCCCCCAAAATGCTGGCTGCCCGGACGATCTGCCAGCACTGGCTGAGACAGTGGGAATCAGATATTGTCAATATGGCTTTTCAGTGACTGCCAGTCTGGGCTTCTCCAGAAAGAGGGCTGATTACTCATTAAAGGGGCAAATCCGGAGGTGGAAGAGTAAGCCAGAGGAATGGATTTGGTAGGAAGTCACAGGGCCCCAGCTGAGGTGCCCAGCGCCCGCCATGTGCCTTAATTTCCAATGGCCAGTGCACACATGTAAGTCTCTAAGCAGGAAACATGCGTTAAGCAGAGTGTAGAAGGGAGAGCACCAGAGACTCCGGACTAAAGCTGGGAATGGTGGTATAGGTACCACCTATGTTATTCACTGGTGTTTAAGTCAAACAATTCAGATTGGTGGCAGCATATTGAAAATTGCAAAGCACAGTTCACATGGGAGGGACTCTTGTGTCCATCATTGAGCAGAATTCACTTTCTAGATTAACTACAGAGAGACCTCGCGGGGAGACTGGGTGGCAGGGTTCATCAGCCAGAATAGGGTTGGCACCTGGGACATTCCTGGCGGCAACAGGCCTCCGGGAAGGGTCTCTGCACGGGAGGAGGTCCCCTAATATTTACGAAGGTCCTGATTAGTATCACAGGTAGATTTTCTCATATATTACCTCACAGTAGCCCTTCAAGGTAACTGTTACTTTCCCACATTACGGATGAGAAACTGAGGCTTAGAGAGATAAACTTCTTCAAGGTCACACAGCTGGTAGGTTACACCAACGCCCATGCTCCCTGTGGAGAGGTATCTTCAATAAGTGATCTAAAGGATTGAAAGGGAGGGCTAAAAGGCAGAGCTTGGGGAGTTTTCTAAGGCAAGCTCTCTAGAGGTTCTTTTTTATTCATTTATTTGTTTGTTTGTTCCAAGGTAGCCTTGGGTAAAGATATTGAAGAGTTTATTTCAGCAGAATTTCAGCTTCCAGCTGGATGTGGAGTAACACCTTGTGGTCTGAGGCCATTCCGAGCTCTTTCTCCCTAGAACCGCCTGCTCCACCAAGCCTGTGCTTTCCTATGAACCCTCATGACTGTCACAAGAGGCCTACGGAGTCACCATAGACCTGCCTGTGCCCCATCAGGGCCTCCCTGGTGTCCTTATTGCCCTCTGCTAAGGGACAGGGTTGGCTCCCCAGAATTTCACTATGGCAGCACGGTAGGGTTGTGGCTGGGATGACCTTTGCCCTGTAGGACACCATCCTTGATTCCGCCTACCAAATGACAGGAGCGTCCCCTAGCCTTTGACCACTAAAAAAAGATCAAATGCCTGCACATTTTCATGCGCTCCCAGTGCCCTCTGTCACCCCGTCTGAGAATCTCATTAGCCCCAAAAGCCATGAAAATCCATTGGTTAGTTTTTGACTCTCAGCCAGGACTATTTTCCATCCCATGTCCTTCTGTGGACTCCAAAGTGCAAGGTCATTGCTCTGTTACCGGAGACAGGGAAGCCGAGTGGGTTCAGGCATGGGCATGAGAGTAATGTGCACCCGCTTGAGCTCCAGCTCTCATTCTTACCAGATATGGGTCCTAACCACTAAAATGAGTAAGAGCAATGGTACCGCTCCAGGGCTGTTTAACACCAAGTCTGATGCCAAGTTCATCGGAAGCAGGAGGGAAGCACTGGCGAAGAAGAATGTGGGTGAGGTCTCCCTCTGCCTGGGTTCTCCATCCACTTTTCCTCCACAACACTCAGTGCAAAAGTAATTGAATTCACAATTTGTGCACTCATCTGTTTTCCCCTCCCCTCCCCATTAAAGTACAGTTTCCATGAGGGCAGAGAGGACCTGGGTTCCCCTAGCTCATCCTTAGGTCCCAAGGCATGGTATTCAGTAGACACTCTGTAAACAGTTGTCAAATAGTTGAAGATATATAATCACCACCTTGTCTCTATTGTCCAGAGCCCTCTGCCATTAACAGCAAAGTAACTACTGAAACCATCTTCCTGGACCTGTGGGAGAAGCCAGGATGGAAAATACCACCTCTTCAATGGTCTATGATGAGACCACAGAATATGACTATGGGGATACAACCCCGTGCCAGAAAGCAGTTTTGAGGAGTTTGGGGGCTCAACTGCTGCCCCCTTTGTACTCCTTGGTATTTGTCATTGGCCTGGTCGGCAACATCCTGGTGGTCCTGATCCTCATGCAATACAAGAGGCTCAAGAGCATGACCAGCATCTACCTTCTCAACCTGGCCATTTCTGACCTGGTCTTCCTCTTCACATTGCCCTTCTGGATTGACTACAGCCTAAAGGACAACTGGGTGTTCGGCAATGGCATGTGCAAGTTGATGTCAGGTTTGTATTACGTAGGCCTGTACAGCGAGATCTTTTTCATCATCTTGCTGACCATCGACAGGTACCTGGCCATCGTCCACGCCGTGTTTGCTCTAAGGGCCCGCACCATCCATTTCGGTATCATCAGCAGCGGCATCATCTGGGTCCTGGCCATCCTGGCTGCCATCCCGGGCTTTTACTTTTCTAAGACCCAGTGGGAGTTCACTCATTCTACCTGCGGCCTTCATTTCCCCCAAGAACACCTAAAACAGTGGAGACAGTTCCAGGCTCTGAAGCTGAACATCATGGGGCTGATTTTGCCCCTGGTGGTCATGATCGTGTGCTACACGGGGATTATCAGGATCCTGCTCAGACGGCCCAATGAGAAGAAGTCCAAAGCCGTCCGGCTGATTTTTGTCATCATGATCATCTTCTTTCTCTTTTGGACGCCCTTCAATCTGACTGTGTTCATTTCTGCTTTCCAAGACGTCATCTTGGCCAGTGGCTGTGAGCAGAGCAAACAGCTGGACGTGGCCATACAGGTTACGGAGATAGTCGCCTACACACACTGCTGCGTCAACCCCATCATCTACGTCTTTGTTGGCCAGAGGTTCCGCAAGTACCTGCGCCAGCTTTTCCGCCAGCTCCTGGCCGTGCACCTGGCCAAATGTTTCCCCTTCCTCCGCACCGAGAGGTTGGAGAGAGCCAGCTCCATGACCCCCTCCACGGCGGACCAAGAACTCTCTAATGGGTTCTGACACAAGCCCTGGCAAGAGTGACCTGCCAGACACGCTGGCCAGAGAGGAGGCAGCTTGGTTGTCCAGGCCAGATTCTGACTGCTGACGTGGCGGGGAGTGGACGCCGCCTGGGGGTGAGGTGGTCTAGACTAAATCACGTTTAGGGCTTGAGTCTTCTCTGTAAACTTCTCCCTGGAGATGAATGAGTGAATGGGGACATTCCAGAAGATTGGACAAAGGGTGACAGCGAAGGTTTGGGGCTCAAACAGGGTTTTGGATTTGTAAACATTAACGTTTGCAAACAAAGCCACTGAACATCCTCCACCTCTACCCTGACTGCCAGTGAATGTGGGAATAGTGATTTCCATAGTCGACTTGGCCCACAGGCAGGAGCAAGCAGCTGCCTCCACTCCCCGCCCCCGCCCCCACCCCCACCCCCGCACACTCCCCCATTGCAGGGTTTAGGCTCTTGGAAACCTTGAGGAACATAGAACTCACGACCTTGAGACACAGTGGGAAATAGGAATAGGAAACTGCTGTTGTCAATGGAATTTCCCTTAGAAGTTTTATATTCACCAAAATCAAGTCACTCACGCAGTGAGCTAGACACAGACTGTGTGTATAATGTGCTGTCTTTCTGGAAACAGCCACAGAAGGAAGGAGACATTGTTCCCATGCCCATTCCTTTCTTCCTGAGTATTTTCACAATCTCCCTTTCCTGGCAGTCTCACGAAGCGGCAGGAAATTCTCATGGGTTTATTGCAGAATTACCAAGGGCCAAAGGAGACAGGGTTGATTTTCTTCCTCTGGTTCTCTGATTCTACGGTTCTGCGGTTCTACGGATCAGAGCTCTGGCTGCCACCTCGCATCCGTCCTCAGAAAACTAACCAGTGCGTAAGCCGACGGTGCCTGAGGCTGGGACAGAGGAGAACAGGTACCAGGCGGGTGGGCTGGGGACTCTGTCTTGGTGTAGGAGGTTGAGAAGGCCCTTCACTCTAAGAAACATATTTACCCTGTACACCTCTAACACTTCATCTCTCAGCAAGGGCCTCCTATGCATCATGTCCTTGTGCGCCTGTTTCCCAGACTTCTATTTCCTTAAAACTCATTTTCCCAGTAGCAAAAATTATTTCTAAAAATGCTTAAAGACACAAAGCGAAGAAACCCGGACATCAAAATCACCCATAAATCTCACCACCCAATGGCAACCCCTGCACATTTTTGATGTGCTTTCTGTTGGTTTGCTTTTTCTCTTATGCATATTTATGACTGTGACAAAGATGGACTTTTGTACTCACCCTTCTGCCCTTGTTTTTAAGTAGTATGTTCGATCACTTCTCTGGGTCAATACATTATTTCAAAGCATTGTTTTTGGTGCCTGCCCTGAATTCCATAGCAGGAGTCTATTCAAATATACTCGTTTCCCCATTACGGCTTGCGCAAATCATTTCAGTTGCACATGGTGACTGAGGGTCTGCTCCAGTCAAAGCTAACCCTGGAAGACACAGGTGCGGGATTGGGTGGTGGCTGGGAATGTTCTGGAAGAGCCCTCTGCTCAGTGAGGTGTACAAATGCCAACAGAGGCCAGGTGGGGGGGGGGGGCGCTGCCATGGAGCCCATGGTGCCAGGACGGCCAAGGGGAGGAAGGACTATACCGGTCAGAAAGCACCCGAAGGGGCTGGCTGTCCCACCTAACAACACAGCGACACCACGGGGCTGGCCTCTTTCTGGACACTGGTGTGCTCTTACCAAGCCACCCTCGCATTCAGGCGGGGACTGCTATGTCTGCATGTTGTCTTTATGTGGGGAAGCTGGTATCATGAAGGTTTAGAAAACTTGCCTGGGGAGGAGAGGTCACACTGCACTGGGCATATGCCTCCACATGGAAAACGTGGGCAGACGTAAGCTTTGGAAGTCAAGGTGAATGTCACCTCTCCGCCTGTGAACTGGCCTGCCCCTCTGCGGTGCGGAGAGAAGGAGGCTTAATGGGATAAAGAAATGTTTGCCCATCACTTCGGTACAATAAAAGTGCATGAGAAGTCAAAATTTGATCCACAACAATACTGTAACGATGAATGTTTCACAACATCCTTCAGTTCCATTTTTGAAATAGTACTTTTTTTTCCTTATTACAAAAGCAATCCATGTGCATTGTAGAAACTGGGAAAAGATAAAAAGCCCAAAGAAATAAATGGATGCCCCCTCCTCAAATCCAGCCTCTCTGGGATTTTAGTATTTTAGTGCATCGTCTTCCAGTGCCATTTCCTGCGTGCACGAACATGTGTGCACAAATGTGCAGTCATACCTCACATGTTTTGTGTAACCTCAGGAGAACGTGACACACAGGAAGTACTTGGCCAATGCTGGTTGGGTAGCGGAACATCTGAGCCTCCAATTCTTTATCAGTAAAGTGAGGATAAGACAAATGTCTACCCCATGAGGCTGCTCTGAGGATTAAATGAAATAAAGCAGGGGACGTGGGGTAATCTTCCCCCAACTCTATCAGAGAGGAGATCTGACTTCCTCTGCCAGGCCCTGCTGCCCGCCCTCACTCAGGGCACCTCCGGCCCCTCCCAGCGGCCATCCTCCCTCCCCGCCCTTCCCTGCTCCCCACGGTGGGCCGGGCTCACAGCCGAGCCTCCTTGCCAATGTTCTGACTGCTTTCACCCTTCTGCCCTCACAGAGAGGTCGTCAGAACAGCAAACCCAAAGAACTCCCGTGTCACCCATCCAGACTCCCCAGTCATCAGCATTTTGCCGCATTTGCCTTAAATTCATCATTCTCTTCCTCCCTCCCCCTCTCAAAACTCACACAGACAGATAGACATCAGGATACCATTTCTTTCAGGAACCATTTGAGATAGGATGCCTCCGCACTCCTTAGCACTTCAGAATCATTTTACTGGCCACAGGACAGTCCCATAGCATCAAAAGAGGAACCTGCCAGGATGCGGTTGTCACCATGTGATTTACAGCCTTCTTCCCCACCCTGCCCGCGCGGTGAAGAATGCCCTTTAGCACGCCAGGAGCCAGAATCCCTTGTTTGACTTAGTTGTCATGTCTTTCTAGTTGTGCCTTCAATCAAGAAAAATCCTGCAGGCTTTTCTTGGCGCAGCGATCCCACTTCCGAAAACATATCCAAAGGGAACCCAGTCACTACCTCAAACGGAAATCCCTGTCCCCACGTCTATCACAGCCCCATTCACGGCAGCCCAGGTGTGGAAACGACCAGGTGGCTGTTGACAGGTGAATGGGAAACACTCAAAGGTCCTTGGGAAAGGACCAAAAGCAAAAGTCCCATTCGGAGGCTGTTCATGTCTGTGCTTTTCTTTTCTTTTGTCCATTTTTTTTTTTTATTGTGGCAAGGCACACATAAAATGTACCATCTTAATCATTTTTAAGTGCACAGCTAAGTGGCATTAAATTCTTATAATATCGTGCAACAGCCATCCCCATCCCTCTCCAGAACACTTTTCATTTGGTAAAACTAAAAGTTCATACTCAATAAAAAGTAACTTCTCATCAGCACCAAGAGAAAATGGAACCAAATGTTGAAAAGAGTGCAAAGCTGGCACATCCCCCAATGTAATAAAGGGCACGAATAGTGCAAAAAGAAAAAACAAGTCCTCGTTCTCCGCCGCGACCCAGGCCTTCATGGAATCGTGGAATCATACAGTATTTGTTTCTTTGTAACCGGCTCTTTCACTTCCTCCAATGTCCTCAACGGTCCTCCATGGGGTGGCATATATCAGAATCTCCTTCCTTTTAAAAGCTGAATAATATTCCATTGTTTATATATACCACATTTTGCTTATCTGTTTATTCACTTATTGATAGATACTTGATTTGCTTTCATGTTTTAGCTACTGTGAATAATGCTGCTATGACTAGGAATAGACAAATATCTCTTCAAGTCCCAATTTTCAATTTTTTAGATACATGCCCAGAAACCATCAGCAGAATTTGGGAGCAGCACTAAGTTATAGGAACCTTGTGAGTCTCCTTTGCTACCTGCCCTCTCAGGAAAGTGGGAGGAAACAGGAGTTCCTGGAAGGGGACATGGGAAGGGGAAAGAAGGGATCCAGTAAATTTTCTCCATCCATTTCTCTGTTTATTCATCCGTCCAAATGCTACCACCCACCCTCACATTCAGCCTCGCCCTGATTGGACCTGAGCCCCCGCAGCCGCACACCAGGGATGTGAAGACCGCCGGGGGAAGGACCTGAGGGGGGTTAAATGAGTATCGGTAAATATGAGCTAGGATACAGACATGAATGGTTTTCAAAAGAATTTTATTGACATGAGAATATGCTCGTACTGTTAATGTTAAATAAGAAAGAAAAATACAGAACCCGTCTCACTTGTATTTTATAATGTAGGTGCCGAACACAAAGACAGGAGGAGAATATACTCGTATTTCTAGGGGCTCATGTGTGTATCAGTCAGGGTTTGATCAGAGAAACGACAGGAGCTAAGCCCAGGGTTCCCACCCTGGGCGCAACCAATTCACAGGAGCAAAGGGTTCCAGTGTTAAGGGCTATCCACCGATACGTGATGTTTCTTGGACTACGCGTTTGAACTATAGTTCACAGTTTCAATATTAGAATGCAGTACATTCCTTTCGAAGTTGCCGTATCTTTGCCAAGCCAGGTTTCCGGCGGCTTGAGAAGAAGCGGTGTGGAACAGGGACCGAGGGTGGCAGGCTCCAGTGGATTCCAAGGTTTGAGAACACGGCTGTGCCTGACAGGCATACTTATCCCATTGGTTATTTAAAAATAAAATCAAATAATTTTTTTTCAACTGATGTGTATTTTTAAACAGCTATGCACAAAAACACTTCGGCTGTTTGGGTCTAACCACTTGATAAGTGGAACAAGCTGGTATTTCTTTTGGCCTGGGGGCACCGAGGAAAAAAAAGTCCCAAGACGTGAAGGGCTGCGTGAACTGAGAAAGCCTGGGCGCCTCTGGAATGAGGGTTTGTTTGCAAACGGGGTTGCATGCAATGGCGGGAGCTGGCGGGCAAGCCTGCGCAGGCTGCAGCCTGGCCCCTAGCAGTGGGAGGAAAGCCTCCACCGTTTGTGGAAGCCACCACAGGGTCTGCTGCAACATTGTTGCTTCTCTCTTGCAAATGACACACTAACGATCTTTCCTGGCAGACACTCGCCCGGCCCTCTACAGGCAAGGGATTCTGGGAAATGTCAGTCCAGATGAACTAGAATGACAGTAGACAAAGCCACCAGAAAGGGCAATGTTTGTTTTTCCTCTGTGCACTCTTTCAGTGCTAACCGTTATTTTAAATAGACACATCATAAGAAAAATTATTCTTTGTGGAAAGAAAGAAAGAAGAGAGAGAGAGAAAGAAAGAGAAAGAAAGGAAGGAAGGGAGGGAGGGAGGGAGGGAGGGAGGGAGGAAGGGAAGGAGGGA